AAAAAAAACTTCAAATCGACTTCGAAGCTCAAAAAAGACATCGATACTTACCTTAATGTGTTCTCCTTTCATATATACTACCATATTATTGTCTTATAACTCAATTTTATACGTTTTGTGAGGTTTTAATTTCTTTAGTTTTGATATTTTTTAGAAGGGTTTGTTGTGAGATTTTTTAGAAGGGTTTGTTGTGAGGAAGATTTTTTAGAAGGGTTTTTGGGGAGGGAGAAGAAGGAGGTGGAGAAGGAGGGAAATGGTTTTTTGAGTTTTTGATTATTTGGTATTTAAGAAAGAAAAATAGTATTTGTAATATTTTTTTAGTTTTAATTTCATTAAGGGTATTAAAGTAATTTACAATTAATTATTTATTTTTTATTTTTTTGGTATTCAAGTAAGCAAAAGTTGGGATTTGAAATAGTGATCCCCTTTACCAAAGGCCGGGCTTTCCTAAGGTATCTAATAATTTGAAGAAGTGGGTGAATATTTGCTAATTAATCGAACTGCCGATTTACATGCAGTAAGTTGTTCCATTTCCTGCAATATTAAATTTTATTTCAATAGAATTCAACAGTAACGCGAAAAGAAGACTACCGACGATCACCTTCTTATACCATTTTCCTCTAACAGAAACATGTGGCAAGAAGTATGTCCTCGTATCCATCATTCATAAAAGAAAAAGAAACAGACAATGTAACTGTTACGTACTTTATTTAAAACTTATCATCTATGCTCTCTACGTCTACGATCTAGATTTATTTAAAACTTATCATCTATGCTCTCTACGTCCACGATCTAGAATAACCAATTCAACGTGGTGAGGTACGCATGGTTGAAGCTTTTCCTTTGCCTTATTCCTCGCACTGCGTTCCACGTCCAATATCTTGTACTGAGGTGCACGACCACCACGGGGATCGACAATTACTTTCTCGAGCACAACGCAATTCTCCAAAATGTAGCCAAGTAATTCATCATCATTTTTGCTACCGTAATACCCAGAAAACTTGAACACGTTAAGGCGATGGTGGGGAATCCTTATAGGATTCTTCGCTGGTCTATATTCCCTCGGAAGTTGATACCATTTAAACTGCCCATAGTGCAAATCAAATTCCTCCAAACAAGGAGATGCCCTTATCAAAGCAGTCAGCCAAACAAGACTTTTATCACCACAATATACAACAATCAACTTCTTCAGTTTAGGCATTTCCGGGATATCCTTTGTATCCTGTGAAATCAAAACCAAAACGATTAACGTGACCGATTAATACGTATAAACCAAGCCAGAGAGATACAGAAGAACAACAGCTACAGTTGTTGTGTTGTTGTCTAACCTTTAGGCTGTCCAGATCCAAGCGAAGAATCTCCAATTGTGAAATGCAAACAGAAAACTTAGAAAGCATACGTTTAACATACATAGGCGATTCAACAGAACCAACAAACAGCTCAACTAGCATCGGAACATTCTCAATCAGCAAGTCTGCCTTGCCCACTGTAACCTCAAGTGAAGTAAGATTTGGCAACGAAACTTAGTGTTTTCAAATTATAATGGACTACTTTCAATTGTTTTAACCTGAGGGATGGACCACATACTTCAAGATTTGATATATTATCCGTAAGATGGACATCCAATCTTTCGAGTAACGGGCAGTTAACTAAAAAGAAGTCGATAACTCTTTCAGTCAAACGAACACTTTTAAAACACAATTCTTTGAGAGATTTAAAGTTGTGTGAAGGGGTTTGCGGTTTAGGTGCGAGGAGCTTTTCGGGGAAACAATAAAAACAGCTACTCGTTCCAAGATCCAACTTCAAGCTCTGAACTTGTCTGGCAAATGCGAATTTAAGCCACCGAGTGACTGAATTCGTGTGCGATTTGTTGAAGTGAAAACTTATTTCGAATTCTTTTAAGTTGGGTGATTTGTGTGATTGGAGAACAGAGTCCACCCATTTCATATACTTGGGTGTCTCACTGTCGAGTAACTTCTCCCAGTCAAAGTACATCGGAGCTACTCTGTTCAATGCACGGTCCGCATCGAAGTTGAGACGCCGGGTGTGTTTCCACAGGTTCATCCAACGAGACGAAAGAACACTAGTGCGTCCTGCTTCCATGAGCGGTAGCAAAGAAAGTATATCAATAAGAATGTCGTCTGGCAACTGACTTATCCGATCATCATCTCCGCCCACAAAACTTGTCTTAGCACGCTGTCAGTCAAACAAGATAATAGTTACATTAGAAACTGATCAATAACGCAATAAGACGAAATTATCCAAAGGATTTTATCATAATTCCCACAAAACTTGTTTTTTTGTCAGCAAATTAAATTAGGGATTTTATCATAATCGAAAGGTCACCTTATTCTTCGGTTGCAAACTCGTATCAACTCCCACACGCTTCCCGCCCATGGAGTTTGAATCTTTGGGAAAAGCACTCGAAATTGCTACACTGAAAACAGGAAAATAAAAACTAAAAAGAAATTTCATTCACTGAAGAATGCAGCAGTTGGAGGAAAATGGCTATAACTTTGTATTTTACCTATGAATGAATTCGACAGCGCCGCCGTGGGAACAATCCTTATTTGTTCAGGCTAACTAATTTGGCCACTGAATTTTCACAGTAAATTAATTAAAATAAAGCGGATACATGACTGGGCCTTGCGCTTTCGAGCTCAATGGGCCTATATTGGTTACATATACCGGTTCGGCCAGACCGGGCAAATATATTGTATAGGCCCAGATCGCTAATATAGACTTAACGGACAAGTTAAAAGGTAAATTAATTTTACATTAATATATCGTCAAATGGGGATGTAGCTCAGATGGTAGAGCGCTCGCTTAGCATGCGAGAGGTACGGGGATCGATACCCCGCATCTCCACTCTCTCTATACATTATTTTTATAATAATTATCTTTTTAAAAAATAATTAATTAATAATTCTATTTAGATAACATTTTTTTGTTGACTAACTAACATTAAAAAAAAATTATAATAATAAATAGACATTAAAAAGCGTGCCAATCCGTCTCTTCTCTGCTTCTCTAACTTGTTCATTTCCATTACCGCTAAAACATCTTGTACCATTTCGTTCGTCGCCATGAAAGTACCGCCTTCCGAAGCTCAAGGTTTTTTCCACTCTCCGCCTATCGGTTTTCTTTCCGTTTAAAATTTTCACGTTTAATTTTTGCCTTTCTTTTAGTTTTCCGTTTGTGTGTAAATTCACGATCGAGTCGAATTTATTATTCGGAGTTTATTGAGATTTTATACCTTGATTGGTGATGCAGAGGATATGTATAGAAAGGAAAAGAGCTCCTATTTTGATTCGCCGGCGTTAGATGTTTCCGTCGCATTTCCTCAAGCAACTCCAGCTTCCGTCTTTCCTCCTTCTGGTAGGTCGAATTTCGAACAATTTTGAATTTTATTTTACATTATTGGAAATATCGTCTCCAATTTCACTATTTGCGACGGTTTGAAAGTGTGCCGATTCTGATCTATTGAACCTGCAGTATCGGACTATTATCAGTTTGATGATCTGCTGACTCCTGAGGAGCAAGCTGTCAGAATTAAAGTAAGAGAGTGCATGGAAAAGGAAGTAGCTCCGATTATGACTAAGGTTCCGTTATCTAATTGAATTCTACGTCTTCGATTTCATATCATACCATCGTGTTTTTTGTGTTTTTTCCAACATTTTGCGGATTAATTGTTATTTGTTAATGTTTCGTTTGTCCTTATATCATTTTCTTCACACAAAACAATAAATTAAATTTAAACTGAATGTTGAGATTTTTATTCTTACACATAGAAATAGTGATGTAGCTCGTAAATGTGCCTTTTTAGTATTGGGAGAAGGCGGAATTTCCATTTGAAGTGGTTCCGAAGCTTGGAGCATTGCGAGTTGCTGGTGGCAGTATCAAGGTACTCGATTTTGAAGGTTTCTGTTTCATACTGTTATGGCCTGAGAGCCATGGTAGCAAAAAATATGTGGGAAATGTGATATATAACTGGATATAATTCAGGGTTATGGTTGTCCCAACCTCTCCATTACTGCAAATGCCATAGCTACGGCTGAGGTTGCAAGAGTTGATGCGAGCTGCTCTACTTTCATTTTGGTTCACTCTTCTTTGGCGATGCTTACTATTGGTAAGTTTTGCTACCGTTTATTGGTTTATAACTTTCTTTCGTCGTACTTATTGGTTCGTTCAAGGTCTTTTACTTATGACAGTGATATATATATAACTTATGATGAATTGTTCATCTGTCAAGGACAGGACTTTGTGGGTCTGAAGCACAGAAGCAGAAATATTTACCATCTCTTGCGGAATTAAAGACAGTTGCATGTTGGGTAAGGAAGTCTTTTCGATGTGTAACGACGTCCTTTCTGATACATGCATCTCTTTTTTTTTCATTTTCTCAATAACTTATGTATTTGGTTGGATCTAGGCTCTAACGGAACCTGATTATGGTAGCGATGCAAGTGCTTTGAAGACAACTGCAAGGAAGGTCTGGATTATAAACTTTACTTATTTCAGTGATATTTCTAGGTTTGTCTGTATTAGGGTATCTCGATCTCGTTTCTCCTCTTATCCTTTGTTTCTGACTTCAAAAAATCAGGTTGAGGGTGGATGGATACTTGATGGCCAAAAGCGCTGGATAGGGAACAGTACTTTTGCGGATGTTTTAGTTATTTTTGCTAGAAACTTAACCACGAATCAGATAAATGGGTAACTATTGCACTCCTCTGCATAATTGATTGTTATATTTGGAAGCACATTTTAAATGTTTATTGACCACTTATTGTGTTTCTCCAACTGATCTTAGCATATCTTTTCTTTTATGTTTTTAATCGTGTCGTGTGCATTCCTAGTTTGATGGACTTCCTGATAAGCTAACTCAAGGCTGATGATCTTACAAAATGTGGTGGATAATTGATATGTTTAGTGTATATCTGTTTTAAGGAAGAACATTTTCCGTGTCTACATAGAATTAAGGTATAACAAGCTTTATAAACACCACTAATATCTGGTCTGCATCCGCTACAGATACATCGTAAAAAAGGACACTCCGGGGTTACAAGCTACTAAAATCGAAAATAAAATTGGACTAAGAATTGTTCAAAATGGTGATATCGTAATGAAGAACGTTTTTGTCCCCGATGAAGACAGGCTTCCTGGAGTTGATTCTTTTCAAGATACAAACAAGGTATGAATGAAGTCATAGTACTCAACGATGGTAGCTTCCCTGCCCGTATTGGAGTAATAATTTTATTCTGTATTTGGCCTATCTGATTCACCTTTACCTGAAAATAGGTGCTTGCTGTTTCGAGAGTCATGGTTGCCTGGCAGCCTATTGGCATATCGATGGGTGTTTATGATATGTGTCACAGGTAATTAATAACTTCTTTTATTTTCACTGTGGTTTAATACGAAAATTAAAAAAATCACCTAACAGAAGATAGCTCGTCGTCCTTTTGGTGTAACTACTGAAATTACAAATTATGCATATATTCTCCGTCTAGAATTAGCTTGGAAGAAGACTATTGATACTATCTGATTGCTGAGCGAAGATTGTAATTTTCATTGTGATTTAGTAACCAAAGAGTTAGTAATAATATTAATAAAAATAACAAAAAACTATTAGAGATCCTTGTCGTTGTTTTAATATGAATATGATTTGTGTAATAATGGAAGGTACCTGAAGGAGAGAAAGCAATTTGGTGTTCCGTTGGCATCTTTCCAAATCAACCAACAGAAATTAGTTCGCATGTTAGGTAATGTGCAAGCAATGTTTCTTGTTGGTTGGCGACTATGCAAGCTTTACGAGAGTGGTAAGATGACTCCTGGTCATGCTAGCATGGGCAAGGTAATATATTCCCATCTTTATTTTTATTTTATTTTTAATTTGGAGCAGCGATATATGGCTGATTTTGGTTTAACCGATGAATTTGTCTTCAATTCAGTCATGGATTTCTCTCAAGGCAAGGGAGACTGTTTCTCTTGGACGTGAATTACTTGGTGGCAATGGAATTTTATCCGACTTTCTTGTCGCAAAGGTGTGTTATTATGGATTCAGTAATATTATATCTGCCAAAAAGTTAAAAGAAAAAAAAATTGTAGCATGCGTTGGGATTTATAATGTGTCGCTCTTTATTATGTCGACAGGCTTTCTGTGATTTAGAGCCAATATACACTTATGAAGGAACATATGACATTAACACCCTGGTAACTGGAAGGGAGATCACTGGAATTGCTAGTTTTAAGCCAGCTGCATCGAGCAATCGAAGCCGACTGTAGTATTGCTCGCTCGTACTAAAGATACTGGAATTACTCTTGAAGCTGGGTGGATCTGTGCAAGCTATTTGGATTATTTATGTATGTAATTCAAAAGAAATCAACGTGATAAAAGTTCCAAACGTAATAAAGAAATCTACATCAAGAGGGTTGGGTCGAAATAAGGTTTACTTTGTATAAGCAGAAGTATTAGTTATTAAATTAATTTAAAAACTTGTATCTGCAGAAATATTGTTGTTTGAAACCAGTTTCAGTTCTTATGTTAGTTAGTTAATCTTTGTGTTTGTTCATGTTCAATTTGCATAATCGGCAGCACCCGATCTATACGACATCATTTATACAGTCTTTCAAATCAAAATACTCGCAATGTAAATATAGATAAGAGCCTAAATACTCGCAATGTATACAGATTTGACCTGTTTACTTTATTCATATAGATTGAAGCCTCCTAACGTTGGCATATTTGGCATCTCTTTTCCGATGAGCCCAAGACCCCGAATCAACACGCAAGAAATAGCAACACTCACCTAAGAGAAGAAACATGCATATAAAAACAATAACAAAAACAAAATCTTCTACGAACACTGCATAATATCAGAGAGAATTCCGAAAACTCTCAACAGAGAGATTCAATAGTTTGTTCTCACTTAGAAGTAATACCACTTCAATAAGCCCCTACAGTTTCATCATATCACTTGAGTGAAAGTCAGCATTACGAATACTCAAATACGCACTACCGACAAGCATTTCAATAGTTCTTATTACATAAACTAGAACATTAAAGAACCGAAGTAACGGGAAGGAAAAACCACAACAATGCAACCACACGGTATCAATCACCTCTTCTTGAAGCCGTATTTCTTGCGCTCGTAGAACAAGTCAGTTTTAGCACTGCCCAAATTGACAATCTTCGGACAACCATCCCTATCCTTTTCCATCTGAGTGCACTCTTTGCAATAGTAAGCATCTGAAATCCCCACTCCTCCACAGATAACACACCTCCCCTGAAAAGATCCGTAGTTGCACTCATCGCATATTCTCACAAGGGTGCAAGGACGCACATAGGAATCACATATTACACATTTGCCATCGTCTTTCTCGCATAGCCTGCCTATGGCTATTCCTGGTTGCTTTCGGCACATGATCAAATCGGGGTGATGTTTAGCCATCTTCCTGCAGACTCTTTCTAGAAAATATTCGCTGCATGATAATTTTACCCATTTTAGAATCAGCAATCAGCACTCTACTCGACATGAAATGTACAATAATAATCCTGAATAGGCATCAGTGATGTAAGGAGAGTTCAAATCATACCGAATTTCTACCAACCTAAGTTTAAATGTGGGAATGAATTAAACATACAAATAATAACCCCAATTTACAAAATAGTAAGTGGTTTTATTATAAGCTATTCCATACACCATATTTCTAGTGGAAAAAATCGAAGAAGAAGAAGAAGAAGATCGAAATTAAAGCATAAAAGTAAATACATTACCAGTGACAGTGAAGCTCAACATTATGAATCGTCTCCGGACAAAGCAAATCAACCTTCTTAATTTTACTTATTTTCTTGGGTACATTTCTTAGCCTAAACTACTGTAATCATGAGTTGTGACCTAATTTCAGAACTTATGCAAAGAAAAGGAATTCCAATGATCAATCCAAGTTTAAATTAGGGTACAAATCGAACAGATTTTGTGTAAAATGTTATGAAATTCATCTCAAAAGTTCAGTTAGGGACGAATTCACTAATCAAACAATATATTAGGCATGAACTTTCAGAAATTATCACAAATTCGGGCAGAGAGTTCGACTTTGTGTGTGTATGTGTGTGAGAGAGAGAGAGGAGAGAGAAAGAGAGAGAGGAACCTGTAGCGCGCTGAGTGAGAGTGCCGACTGAACTGCGTAGAAAGCGTTGAAAGAATAAAGCTTGGGTTTTATATTTTCTTTTTGGCGTTTATTTTTATATTTTTTAGGTAAATTTATGTATTTTCCTCGGTCGGTCCAGTCATCCCTCGGCCGGCGCGTCGGCCTCACGCTCCTTTTATATGACGATTAATGTTTAATCTAATTTTCTTATTTATAAATTATAACCTCGTTAAATTATCAAATTGTAGCAACTCTACAAGCACTTATTTAGCTATTTTCATACTTGTTTTTAAGCAAACTAGAATAAATTTTGTTATCAAAGGGTCTTGAAACACATTATAAATACGAAATAAATAAATAAAATAGTATGGATCCAAGTGCAATAAAAGAATATGGCTCTCCCAATTGGAACTCATGCCATCAGTTAAAATACAGAAACCCAAAGTTGCCAAGTGTTTTGCAGACTATTCACAAACAATTTATTTCTCATTAACTAATTCATTTTACTTCTATGCACACAAAGAACCACAACTCCAGGTAATAAACATTGTTCAAATATTATCCTATAAATAAATATATCATACAAATTTCCAGAAGTGTAGCCTACAACAGACCACACAAGCGAGGCCTCGAACAAATTTGCCTTCCGTTGCTTTTAATCAATGCCATCAATCCTGCTGTTAGGCCAGCGCACACCATTGAAGATAGCAAGTGCTGTGCGTTTCGTCCCGCTACAGTAAAATATATGTTGTTGATTACTAATTTTCACGACATAGTAAGATTCAATAAACTTCAAACATAAGGCTAAATGTGGGAATACCTTGGTTTAATGTGATTGATGTCACCGTTAATCCCCCGATTACTAAAGCCGATGCCACAGGAAGGTACTGAAAATTTATTACAGTTGTCAAATAGGAAAGTAGTCATTGCATATCCACAGAGAGAGAGAGAGAGAGAGGTTATATAGCTTACGGAGATGGACTCGAATCCTTTGGGGCTTAAAGGAGAGGAACCGTTTCTGTTCACAGTGTAGCGGCCACTGATAAGATCACTAGCGTCCTGTAAGAATACCAGAAAATATGTCAAAATCTTCAATAGTTTAAAGCATTGGAAAAAAAAAAAAAAAAAAAAAAAATACGACGACAATCAATAATACTAGATGGCTTGCCTGTCGAAGGCCATCTTGAAAATTATTTAAGAAATATCTTGAGATTGCACTCATTCCATCTTTGATAATGCCAGACATTGTCTGTTTGCCATATCTGAAAATAAAAAATCTCGTAAAGAAAGTCGAAACATTTTTGGACTCCATTTAATTAAATATAACAGACTTTCATAAAATATTGCATTTTCGTAAAGTTACCTCACAAGGTCCCGTTTAAGTGCATGTGTTCCAGAGTACTCGAGGCTTATCTCATCCCCATGCTCGACCCACACTGTATAAGGAAAAGAATGTTCAGCACAGGCGAAAAGAACAGTGTTGATTCGTAATCAAAAATCACAATTGATTACAGAAGCATTGGTTATATTTGGTCCTTACAAGTCTTAAAAAGTTCAAAATCTTCAATAAACATAGAAAGAGTTTCCTCTGAAGAAAGTGCACCAAGTTTCTGTAGCTGAGAATTCAAAGACTTCTGTGCTAGGTAGCTCTGCACTTGAAATATCCAATTCTTGATATGAAGAACTCGTAGTGAAAACAATTCCTCCATAGACGAAGCAAATATATTGGCAATAAAAAATCCTGGAAATTAGGGGTTTCGTGTAAGCTGCAAACCTGTGTAACATTTGTTCTGTCAAGGCAATCGATGCAGTTAGATCTAATTATTCCTTTCTGTTCTGCTAGAATCTTCCCTTCCGGATCTAAAATGAGGTATCTGTTCAGCTTGAATAGTAAATATTAAAAGAATAATATGAAGATTCCAGCATAGTAGCATTCTTGCACCCCCATGTAACGATAAAACGAAATGTCATAATGCAAAATCATTATTACCCTTGATTCTCAAAGTCTTCTGAAATTTCTTTGTACAGAAGTTCTATGTTATCAAAGTTCCCGTTGCCACATGAGTGGTGGAAGTCGAAAGAAACATATCTGGAGCAGTAGGATATTAGAAACAAACATAAGATATTAATCTTCCTCCCAACTTAAAACGTAATTAAAGTGGAGAAGGAATCTACAAAATTTGGACGAGACGGGAACACGAGCAAATTGCTAACTTGTAGCAAGTAAAACTTCGTTCAGACCGTCTATTTATAGGTTCCCATCATCTAGTCATACCATATTTACAAAACCACTCGATCAGTTGTGATCCTAATACATTTGATAAGAATTAATACATAACAGGACAAGCATTTCATCTTCGTTATATTTATTTCCGTACCAATTTCAAAATTTTCTAACCAGAATAGGAAATACCAATTTCTTTCCATTAGCTTCCAAAGTGGATAAGCAAAGAGCATTACAGCGGATACTTAGACAAGAAACAGATAAACTCACCTCACATTTGGAAGTTTGTGCATTTCTTCAGCATAAGCTTTACTTAACAAACCTTCATCTCCTTGCTACAATATAGAAAAAAACAAAAGAGTGTTGAGGATAAATTGCTGTTTTGATTACACCATTAATCAGGCAGTAAGAGCGAGTAGATTTGATGAACATCCCTAAAACACTATGCATTATTCAAATTCAGAGATATAAAAAATGTGCAGATGTTAGTAGGAAAACATCATCATAGTTCTATTAGAAGTAGGTACTTAGAGGAGCCACCAGGATAAGTAATTTAAATTTAATCAAAAAACTGATTTTACCTTTAAGAAACTGAAACATTTTGCGATGATCATGAAACTAACTATAGCTAAACGGTATTTACTGAGAGAGGGGAACGAAGGAGTTTTTCATGTCGATTTAAACCGTACACTGGTAATCTATTTATTAAAAAGTAATTAAACAAGAAACATTATCTCAGCCTATATGACTTCTTCAGCTGCCCAATGGTTGAACTTAGTAGGCATCAACAGAGTATATCTAACCTGATTCGTCAGGTCAACCACAATGCATCCTCCATATCTTTTTAATAGATCATTAAAATGGCGTTCCACAACTTTTGACTGAAATACGAGAAGACACAAGTATTAATTCTGACAACAAAGCAACATGTACACAAAATAAATATATTATTGTAAAATTAGGAATTATAATTTAGGGGCATGTGCGTACTGTATCCTCATGATTAATTATATTGAGTCGTGGTTTATAGCTCAAATCAACGATTTGCTCCCATAGTAGTGGAATTGACCCCCGAACCTGAGAACCATAGTTTCGTAAGAACTTGCTTCCAGTAAAACCAAAAAAAAAAAACTATCTGAACAAAATTCATCAGATTAACTGGTTTCCCCTACTTCACTATGCACTCTTATGGGCAAGTTTGAATATGCCTGAGATGCAAGATAAATTCCAGCAGATAGTTGTTTTCAGAATCATGTGTGTCAAAAGGTGGATATTCATTATTGAAGTAAGTCAACTCATTCAAAGGAGAAAGATGCAAGTAATTAGATGTCGGAGTAACAAGCACACATAACAGAAGCAAACCTGAAGAAAAGAGGAAATATGATCTCCAAATTCAAGCAGCTGCTCAGTTTCAATGAAATTAGCAGTATCTCCCTCAAGGTTGGCTCCTCTTCTCCACATTCTTGTCCCTAAATTCAAATGCTCAAAAGTTAGAGTTTCAAAGGATTGAACTGAACAAAGTAAATTAAATAAGACCATATTGTTGTTATACCTAGGCGCCTTGTACACCTCCGTGAAAATAGTTTTATAACAGCAGGTGATTTTCCCAGCTTCATTTCTCCAGTCTGAAAGCTTTAGCCTCGGTCAAGTAAAACATTACCATTTTGTGTGTGTGTGTGTGTGTGTGTGTGTGTGTGTGTGTGTTTGTGTGTGTGTGTGTGTGTGTGTGTGTGTGTGTGTGTGTGTGTGTGTGAGAGAGAGAGAGAGAGAGAGAGAGAGAGAGAGAGAGAGAGAGAGAGAGAGCTAAAGGATATTTCCTTGTAATAAAGGGATAACAAATCCATCAAGCTGCAAGAAGAAAGTGTATAATTAGAAATTGTATATGTTAGTAAAGTACTATCCCACTATGGAATGCTCATGCAATAACAGAATGTTTTCCCTACACTGTTTCAACCTTCATAAACTTCTAATGTTGAGAAAAGAGCAAGAAATCATTCCAGCAGTTTAAAAATAAAAGTGTGTCAAACGAAGAACGTAACTAACTCTGAATACCCTCTTGCCGGAATCAATGAGAGGAGACATTTATTTCTAACCTTGTTCTCAATAAGATCTTCCAATAAGTTCCTATTCCAAACAAATCGAGGGTCACCCTGCAATTCACCAGAATCCAGTTGTTGTTATAAAAACCATTCCAAGCCAAAAGTAACGAAACAGTAATTACTGAAAGTAACTCCAGTTCTGAAGCACAATCGATGTAGTAGACCAATTAAAATAGCTTTTCCGATTTAATATTCATGTCTGATAGAAAGAGTCCGTAGTTTGATTCAGTATACCTGCTTCCAAATTGGTTTGCTCATCCATCCTTTTGCCAGCTTGGATCTCCTCTGCAAGCTGGTAAATGCATCAGCACTCTTGAAAAGGAACTCAATACAGCTAAGTTTCTTTTAAACAATAAAGCAGGAGATATCCTAGGTACAAACTTACTTCAATGTTATATCTGTTCCATAAGAATAATACAAGCCTGGAGTTGATTCTACTATCTTCAACAGAGTCATGAAGTAAGCTTCGTCTTTTTTCTGGAGAAAAGATTATGCAAGTGTTGCAATACAAGGTTTACTAGACAAATTGATTGAGAAATTTTCGGAACTAATTAAATCAAGAAATACCCAATTACACCTCTTCATTGGTTAAGAATCTTGAAGTTTCGTTGCAGGGCAGGGTTTTCATTGATGTCACCAGGAAAACAGGAAAACCAAGATAAGTTCCAACTTCCTTCCTAGAAGTTATAACTAGTATATATGTACCTATGAAAAGGTTGCAATCATATTTATCAGTTAGGCCGCTCGGGTAGAGAGAATAAAAGCAACCAGTGGCCATTTTAAACACAGATGAGACTGAAAAGTAAGCAAAATTTGACGGCAACTAGCATTTGGTCTCGATTGCACTTAGACATGACTCTTGTCTGTAACTACTTCAAATATTACCTGCCAGCAACCTAATTGTTCCAGCAACCCCATATACGGTCGAGACTTTAGAAGGAACCTCAGAAGAATCGTCACCTATAACCGAAAAAAAAATAGTCGACTGCATCAGAGAGAGATTATAAACTGAATTTACCCATTAAGAAAAAAGAGAAGAAAAAAATTACAATATTCTTCCTCGAAATTCACATTAATTTACTCCGAATAACACACCCCAACTCCAACTCTTTTTCCTTTACAAAGATTATCTTCAATAGAAATGAATCTAATGTATGGTTCGAAATTAGCTAAATAGCAGCAAATCCTACATCAAGCAATCCTTCTGAAATATCCAATACTCAAACTTCTGCTTAGCTTAAGTTCACCACATGCAAGCTGTTAAATGAACAGCTGATAAAATGCTGAATCGTTTGACAAAATACTATCTGTAGCTATCGTTAGGGGGGAAAACACTACGGATAACTAAATTAGCAGAGCAAATCCTACAAATTACAAAAACGGAAAATGCTTTCGAAATTAATCGAACAACGTCGTAGATTCATATGCTTTGAATCTTCTGCAGTTTCAGAAATTTCTTACGAAATTATTAAAAAAAAAAATTACCATTAAGGTTGTCAATGGTTCCGTCGGATCGGCTGATAGAGAATCCTTCTTCCGGCGATTCCATGGATTTTATCACGAATTTGTCGGTGAACTCTTGTAACTCTAATTCGCTCCATAGCTTAAAACGATTCGTTGAATTCGATTCGATTTCCGTCTCCATTTTCCCCCTTTTCCGAATTTAATGGCCTAACCGAACGAGAGAAATGATAGATTCAGAAGCTTAGACGGGAAAAAGACGAACAATTAGATCGCGGTAGTAATTATGAGTCAACGACAATTTGAATTATTGAACGATGGATTAATAAACAGAAATTAGGTTGATTTGGTTTTTTACAGGTAGGTACAACTGTATAATTAATAGCTAAATTAATTCATCATTTTCAGATAATGGCTGATATTCGTTTAAATGCTTTTTTGTACTTTGCCCTAAGAATGTTGTACTCAACAATATTAATGTTTTTTTCTCTCTTTTTTTGTTAATTCATTTTAATTGCTATTTAATTAGTAAAATTAATTTATGGTTTGTTATAATCATTTAGTTAACCAGTCAGAAAATTAAATAAAGCATTTTTTTTCAAAAATAAAAATAATTAAAAAAAAAAGAAGGCAATAATCAACAGAAATTTTAATTCGATTTAAGATACAAGGATCTGAGATAGAAACCTATCGTTCAAACTTCTAATTTTTGGATCTGAGATGATAGAAACATAGTAATGAAACCCTAAATCTACAATCTAATGAAACCAGCCAAACTGCACGGAACTTAACCACCGAAACCGTAGAGAGTTCGGCCCTGCCTCTTCAAGGCATAGACGACGTCCATCGCCGTCACGGTTTTGCGGCGAGCGTGCTCGGTGTAGGTAACGGCGTCACGGATAACGTTCTCAAGGAAGATCTTGAGGACGCCACGTGTCTCCTCGTAGATGAGACCGCTGATGCGCTTCACTCCGCCACGGCGAGCCAGACGGCGGATAGCCGGCTTTGTGATTCCCTGGATGTTGTCTCTCAGCACTTTGCGGTGGCGCTTTGCTCCGCCCTTTCCCAAACCCTTTCCTCCCTTTCCTCTCCCTGACATTTTTATTCAAACCCTAATTTTACCTTACTTTGAATGAGATTGAAATTTGAATTAGAGAAGGAGAATTGAATACTGCTTTGGAGATGAAACTGGTGGGGGTTTATATAAGGGGCGGCCAAGTAAAGTGCGTGATTTTCTGCCGTCGGATTTCAAATGTTAATCTACGGTAGAGCTGCAGGATCCGCGTTTGCGGAGAAATAAATACTGGCCTTTGATAAATACTCAATGGACGGGTGAGATTATTTCGTAGCGGATCGACCGCTTTTGGAGAGGATCCGTGTTAAGAAGATTAGACAATATTAAGCCGTTGATAAAACTCAGATCAACGGTTGACCATTGGAAGATTAAACAATTTTAAGCCTAGTGCAATTAATCTGATTTAAAATTAAATAAACTTTCTAAAAAAATAAGAAACAACATTCAATTTGTGTTTTCCCGCCACAATCGTTCATTTAATAATACTTTCTACGATCCTAAACCCGGTGATGGTGTTTTTTTTTTCTACTAACACATGTGTTTTGTAAAATTGAATTCATTAAGAGTGCGTTTGGATGAAAGGATTTGGGGAGGGATTTGATTTGGGGAAGGGATTTGAAATGACTCCAATTTTGGAGTCATTTGAAATCCACCTCAATTGCTCAAAACATAACTAAAAAGGAGGGGTGTGGATTTGAAATCCATCCCCAAATCCCTCAATCCAAACAAGTCCAAGGGATTTGTTATTATGGATTTGAAATCCCTTCCCCAAATCCTTCCATCCAAATGCACCCTAAAAATATTTAAAATTGAATTAAAAAGGACAGAGTGTTAATACATAAGATACTCGATACTTATCACGAGGTGTACGTATTTGTAGCGTATGCATATCGATCTCTACATAATAGTACAATACAATGATGGATAGCAGTTCTAGTATTATCTACTTCATTATCCCATAAATAGAAGTGTTTGATTGATAAGTTGAACCAACAAAATTTGATCAAATTTGTTTCACCATATAACAATTTTTTATTTCCTCACCTAATAAAATGCCAATTTAATTAGTTTCCATTAATATTGCAATACTTTCTTCTAACCAAAACAAAATAAAAAAGTAATTCCATTACTAATAAATCAAGATGCCTTTAGCTTCAATCCAACTCAACTTTCCATCCGAAAATTTGTTTCAAAGTAATGTCATCATCATCATTCTGTTTACACTTGATATTGATTCTTGATTGGCAAAACTCTATTTCATCACTTAGCAAAAAATTTCTTTTTCTCTAGTACAATGGGCTCTCCAAGAAGGGGAAATTTGTCCTTGTCCGTAATTACCGTCATAATTTGTGCGTTGGCAATTATCGGTCTCTTGTACTCTGAAGCAATAAGCTCTTTTTCGTCGAGCACGATTCTCAGGCTCAAGCCATGCGCTAGAAGAAACGGAGCCAAGAATTCCGTTACAGGTATATACATACATACATCTATACACAAACGAAAGTCCTTGATGATAAATTGACAATGTATGTATGTTTGGTGTTTGTTTAACAGAGGATAATTATGCGGCAGACGATAGGTTCGAGTTTGATCCGGAGGAATGCAGTTTGGTACACGGAAAATGGGTGTTCAATAGTTCGGTTAAGCCTTTGTATTCAGACAGAACATGCCCGTATTTGGACAGGCAGGTTTCGTGTGTCAAGAATGGAAGGTTCGATTCAGATTACAGGCACTGGCAATGGCAGCCTGATGATTGCATGTTGCCTAGGTTTGTTATATCAATACTAATAAAATAAAATAAAAGATATTGTCATTTAAATAAATTCATTTTTTTTAATCAAATCTTGATTACTTTGTTTTTTTATAGGTTTGATCCTAAAATCGCACTACGGAGACTTAAAGGGAAGAGGCTAATGTTCGTAGGAGATTCACTGCAGAGAGGGCAATGGCAATCCATGGTTTGCCTTCTCGATTCTGTGATACCAGAAGGGCAAAAATCGATGAAACGAGGCCGTTTTCATAGTGTGTTCAAAGCCAAGGTGCTTTCAATGAAATATGTGTTTTGACGTACTTATTGGAGACGAAGCGTAACTCCTTTTCTTGAATGGATAATGTAGGAGTATGATGCGACAATCGAGTTCAATTGGGCTCCGTTTCTAATAGAGTCCAATTCGGATGTTCATATTGTGGCTGACCCAAAGAAGAGGATTCTGAAAGTTGATTCAGTTGCTGAGCATGCTAAGTACTGGTTAGGAGTTGATATTCTTGTCTTCAATACTTATGTTTGGTGGATGAGTGGCCTCAGAACCAAGTCATTGTAATAAATCTCTCTCTCTCTCTCTCTCTCTCGATTTCATCGCACGTGTACTAATAAGGTGATTAAAGTGCAGATGGGGTTCTTTTGCAAATGGAGAAGAAGGGTATCAAGAGTTGGAGACACCAGTTTCATACACAATAGGGTTAAAAACATGGGCAAATTGGGTGGATTCAAATGTGAATCCCAACAAAACAAGAGTGTTCTTCACCACAGCCTCACCCACACATCTGAAGTCAGTCAATTCATTCTCTCCAACTAATTATATTTCCCTTTTTTTTTTTTTTGAGATTGTTTTCTTGAAACCATATTATAAATTCAGGAGTGCTGATTGGGGCAACAAAAACGGGACGAAATGCTTCAACGAAACGAAACCGATAAGCAAGAAAGGGCACTGGGGGAGCGGCTCGGACAAGCGTATGATGAGTGTGGTGGCGAGCGTGGTGAGGTCTATGAAGGTGCCTGTGACCCTTATAAACATCACCCAGCTGTCGGAATATCGAATCGATGGCCACACTTCCGTTTACACCGAGTTGGGAGGGAAATTGTTGAAGGATGAAGAGAAGGCTGATCCATTGCATTTTGCAGATTGCATACACTGGTGTTTGCCTGGAGTTCCTGATACCTGGAATCAAATACTTTATGCGCATTTGTTGTAGCACAAATATTTTGCAATGGAGCATTCGTTGATTTGATTCAAACAAACGAAAAGGTAAAGAAAAGTGTTGTTTCTCTTCTCGGCAATTGTCATATTAACTGTTCTTTTTTGGTCGAATTTTTATTCAGTACACAGAAGCGTCCGATGCAAAATATTACACAAGCACTGGATT